TCGAATCGGAGACATCGAAATGAGCCCTGAGAAGGCCATCGAATCCGCCGTGATCTTTTCGCGACGCCCGGGCTCGAGGGTCGTCAGAGGCGGCCGCGCCGCGAAGCGCGGGCCGCAGGCCGCCGCGGCTGCCCCCCCCCCCCCCCCCCGCGGAGGTCTTCTCCGCGGGGCGGGGCTCCAGCAGCGAAGGGGCGAGCGCGCGAGGGAAGAAGGAAGGAAGGAAGGACAGAAGGAGGAGGAGGAGGAGGAGGAGGAGGAGGAGGAGGAGGAGGTGGGAGGTGGGAGGTGGGAGGAGGAGGTGGGAGGAGGGAGGATGAATGAGGAGGAGGAGCGGGGGTGGGGTCCGAGCGGTCGATTCGTCGTCGACTCGTCGTCGTTCGGGCCCCTCCCCGAGACGAAGCCAGGACGAGGTTAAAATCGCGTGAGGATAAATCGAGAATCTCCGAGATCTGGCGGCTCTGGAGGATGTCTTGCGCGCCGCGGCCTGCTCAGAGCGGTTCGGAACGCTCTGAGAGCGTTCGTCCCAGAACGCTCTGCAACTGATTTCTATCCTCGTCCGAGCCACGTCCGACTCCCCCCGTCCCAATCGACCGATGCCGCGACCTCTTCCACGGCGCGGCGCCCCAGGAGGCCTGGACCTCTGCCCCGGGGGCGGGCCTGCCGTCCTGGCTCGCTCTTGCTCCGAGGGCCCCCGGGGTCTGGCAGGGGCGCCCGGAGGCCGAAACGTGTCAGCACTGACCGCCCTGATCTTTTTGACCTTTCGTAACAAACTTGGCGGCGCGTAGATTGGGATCTGGGAATCCAGTGAGCCCGGCGCGACCCCGATTAGGGGAAAGGTTCCTATTGCATGAGCGCCATGCTTGGCATTGCTTGGCATTGCTTGGCATGAGGCGCCCGGGGACCCCGGGGAACCCGAAGCACCCGGGGAACCTCCGAGCAACGGGCAACGTAACAGTAGTATGCGCCAACCTTTAACTAATCAAGTAAGAACTCCTTAGGATCTGGGAGAAAAATGCCACATTTCAACGACATGCCAGGTTTTGCCCAGCTTCGCGCGGCGCGCCTCGCGATGCACGACGAGCGGTTCTCCTTGCGCCCTGAAGCCGCCGCTCTGGGTAGGGGCATGTTCGCGGTCCAGGTCGTGACGCGCGTGGCGCAATGATCATCGCGCCCCCGCGAGTGACCTAAAGAAATGCGGGGAAACCGGGTCTGGCCAAGACCTCCCGCTTCCTGCCCGCCTGCCCGCCCGCCCGCCCTCCGCCCGCCCGGCCGCCACACACTTACACACACTGACAACAATTTATCAACACATACTAACACAGGCGCACAAACTTTCACACACACACACACACACTTACACACTGACACACCTTCCACACACACACTCACAGACACTGACACACACACACTTACACTTACACTTACATATATACACTTACTTACACATAGACGCACACACACACACTCTGTCACACACTTATACATACTTACACACACTAACACACAACTTACACTCACGTACACATACCTACGCGCACTTCACACATACTGACATGCACTGGCATACACTTACACACACTTACACACATGCTTACAGACACTGACGCACCCTTACACACACTTGCACACACCTGCACACACACACACTTACACTGACAGTTACATCTACATTTACACACACGCGCACACGCACACGTACACACACACACACACGCACAACACACACACACCCACACTCGCACAAACACTTACACACCAACACGCACTTAAAGTCGCTTACATATACGTGCAACCACCTCACACACCTACACACATTTACATTCACGTGCACAGACTTACAACCAGATGCACACACTGACACACACACACGCTTACACACACCTTGTACATGTAAGTGTAAATGTAAGTGCAACTGTAAGTGTGTGCAAGTGTGTGTGTGTGTGTAAGTGAGTGCGTATGTGTGTGAGCGTGCACGTACATTGGCACTGACACTTACACACAAGCACACACAATCACACACGCACACACATATGAACACACTCACCCACACCCAACCACACACACCACCCATACAGACACACACACACACACATCCACACCCAAACACGGTCACACACAACCGCACACACTCACACACAATCGCACACAATCGCACACACAATCACACACAATCGCACAATCGCGTACAATCACGCACACTCACGCTCAATCACACACAACCGCACACATTCGCACACAATCACACACAATCACACACAGCGGCTGGCCAAGCAGCGTTTGCCCTAAGAGGTTTCACCGCTCCGTGCTCGCACGGAGCGCCTGTCGTACCGCTCGGGAACGCGGCTACGGCGTAATGTACGAACGACTGTGGCGTCGGAGACGCGGGTATTGCCGGAGCCGCTGGATCTCTGAGTTCCCTTTCACCCCCTTTTACTCAGGTCGGGCATGTCCCGCTACAGGCGGATTTTGGAAAAAGAAAAATGTACATACTCAAAACGACTCAACAATCATCGAAACTAGTAGAACAATCGTCCCCCGACTATGTTGTACTACTCTTGAATATTCCTCCTGTAGAGGGGCAGGCCCGACTTCACCCTGCACCCTCATCACCCCCTCCCCTCCTCCCCAGACCCCTTCCTCTCCCCTCCTCGTGTCCGCCCCAATTTTCCTGGGGCGCGCGTCGCTGCCCCTCCTTTCGCCCCCTGGCTTTCCCGTGGTCACCCGCTGCACCGTGGAGCCCGCGTCCAGTCAGCTGGGAAGCCTGCATTTTCTGACATGGCTGGGAGGAGGAGGAGGAGGAGGAGGAGGAGGAGGAGGAGGAGGAGAAGGATGAGGAGGAGGAGGAGGAGGAGGAGGAGGAGAAGGATGAGGATGAGGATGAGGATGAGGAGGAGGAGGAGGAGGAGGAGGAGGAGAAATAAGTCGTCGGACATGCCCCTCCTCCATCCCCCCCCCTGGCGCCCCTGGGACGGTCCAGGGACACGAAGCGGTGAGGGACAATGAGAAGGGGGGAAGAAAACCTCGAGCTGGAATTGGCGATAGATCGCCGACAGGTTGGCCATGTTTCCAGGACGCGCTGGACCCATCCTACCTATCCTAACGTCTTCCGCACGAAATCCGCTCTGCGATGTTGGAGCCATGATGCGTGTGTTCCCCACCCGGCAAATTGGGATCGTTAGAATTTGCGAGCAGACCTCCCAGCCCGCCCGCCCTGCACGCCGCGGCCGCCAGATCCCCAGGCTCCCGACAATCCCTGGTGGTCCCGCCTCCCCCCCCGCCCTGCATACCGCGGCCGCCAGATCCCCAGGCTCCCGATAATCACTGGAGGTCCCGCCCCCCGCGCCGACGCGCCCACTCTGCATGTCCCTGAGGGTCCCGCCCCCCCGCGCCGACTCGCCCACTCTGCATACCGCGGCCGCCAGGTCCCCAGGTCCCCCACAGAACAGCACAACACCACACCACCGAACAGAACGTGTCCGAGCATATCATACCATATCATGACAGACCAGATCGCAACATAACACACCATGCCGACACAGTACATACCATAGCACAGCTATCGCAGTACACACCATACCATAACATGATACATCAAGCATACCATAACACATCAACACATAACTGACCATACCAGCTCAGAAACAAACACGTCACGCCATCACATAACATGACACACCATATCACATCCCAACATGGCGCATGCTATGATATATCTGGCCATGCATAACATAACATGGCATATTCTAGCACACGATGGCACATCATAGCATCACATAGTGCACAATATCAGCACACACCACCATATAATACAGCATCGCAACACATACCATTCCATACAACTCCATACCATGACACATCACATCATGACAGAGCATAGCATAACACCATGAGCTACGACACACTTGGTCACACAAAACAGTTCATGACATCGCACCTCACACCACACCATAACGTAGCATGCTATGACACACCATGGCCGACCATATCAAATCATATCATACCACGGCAGAACATATCACACTGTAGCCCAGTACCACAGTACACATCAGCTCATACCATGACACATCATACCATGGCAGAGCGCGGCATACCACTGTATATCATAACGTGATCTTATACGTCAATACACCATAACATAACAACGCATATGCTATCATATCATGTGAGAGCACGACATAACAGGACACACCATAGCAACGCATGCAATGCCATACGGGGGCACACAGGGCATACCATAACACCACACATCATACCAACCAATAAAAGACAGACACACCATAACACAGCGTACCAGAACAGAACATACCATTTCACACAATGGCATAACATGTCAGACCATAACTTGCCTCGCCCCAGAGCTTGTTTCGGATTCTTTCGTTAAGGGCTCTGGGGCCGCTTGATTTCAGGAAAACGGCAACTTGCGACATGGCCCGACCGCCGCACTGGCCCAGACCACCGCGCCCCGTGCACATCGTTCCAAATAGCGCGCGCATCTTCGGGATCAAACGCCGAAGGTTTCGGTGGGGATCGCTCGAAGCAAACTAATGCTGTGTTTCTGTCTCTTTTCTGTCGATGTTGGAGTTTCTGTGCTGTGCGTGTTTTTTTGCTTGTGTTCTCTCTCTCTCTCTCTTTCTCGCTCTCTCTCTCTCTCTCCCCCCCTCTCTCCCTCTCTCTCTGTCTCTCTTTTCTCTGTCTGTTCTCTCTCTCTCTCTCTCCTTCTGTCTAGTCTCCCTCTTTTTTACCTGTCCCTTTTGCCCTGCCTATTCTGAGGAGGAGGAAGGAGGGAAGGACGGGGAAAGAGCACGCACCTCTTTATTACCCCGTCCCACCTGCCTTTCCCTGATTCGGATTCGACGCCCTGAAGCCATCTGTAATGCCCGCTCATTCATCCCATCGCGTCCAGACCTCTTCGATGGTGCTGCATCGTTGCCCATGCTATCCCACCAAATATCAGCAAGGCGGCCCACAGTCGGCCCCAGTTCGCGTGAGCTACGCTGCCTTCACGGGAAGGTCTTCTTCGTCATCACCTGATAGAAGTCCTCGTGCACTAAGCAAAAGGGTTGAAGCAATACTGAACGATGCTTGCTTGTACGTCCAAACCATGCGTGGATTATGTGACAACTGTCTTCACCGCTGAAGTGTTAAGGTTGGTGGCGCGGTCAGGCGCACTTACGCGAAGAGAAGCAAAACACACTACTGTTGGACCCTGATCCTTGACAGATTCGATTGTTTTAGATTCAGTGCACACTTCATATCCATCCAAACTTTGCAACCTTGACTGTTCTCTCACACCGGGTGTCTTCTCTCAAAACGGACGGGTGAATACCTCGCAAATCATTTTCTACCCTGTTGCAAGAGCAGGTTATGCCGATGGGAAATGCATGTTAGCCAGACTTGCGCTAATTGGCATGCTGGCTGCTCAGGGTCCACAGGCCACGGCTAGGGCTCGGCGAGAAATATGCAAGGGAGGGGATCGGCGGGCGAGCATAGGCGGTATTGTGGACAGAGGTGTGCGAAATGGGCAGGATGCAGCAAACCCAACTTGGAAACGTGTGAAATCAGCTCGAGTGGGGCCCGCTCCGGTGCCAGGGCTGTGAATGAGCGGCGCTTACATGGAATGTGCAGGGCGGACAGATGATACCGCCATGCCGTATGTGCCCATACACATGTAAGCAACTTGCTTTGTTCAGAACAAAACACCAAACAGCTCGCCCAGCTCGCCCCTTGGACATATACGGGCGCAGCACAGCGCCGTTGAACCCGAGCGGCTACATGTTTGAAGCCAGTCTGCAAACCATATGTTTGCACCATTTCTCGTACAACTGCAACGCAATTTCTTCACCCGCCCGCCTACAATTACGACCCACATCTGCTCTACGATCCACCCAACCTGCAAACATCATCCGTCGACCCCCGCTTACTAAGGGTAAGACAGCGTGTGAGATGATGTTTGGCTGTCCCCTTTCCCATGCCCCCACTCCCCGTTTAATGACTCCCCCCCTCTTTCTAGGGGGGGGGGGGGGGGGGGGCGAACTCCTCAACGCACCTTCAGGGCCCTCAGAGCCTCCAAATCCACCCTCGGACGCCCGCAAGGTGCCCAAGAAGCTCTTCACAACGTGTTCGGAAGGCATCCAGCACGGCCAAGGGGCCTCAGACCTAACCCAAGAGATCCTAAGACCCCCCCCCCCTCCTAAGAAGACTGACGTGTGTCCCGAGAGGGAGATGAGACACCTAAAACGTTCACCATATAAATGTTTGTTTGCAGGTTTCTTGCCACCTTGCCTTACCGCATCCAGACAACTCCGAGAGGGTCGGCGAAGCCTTCAGACGGCCCCCCAGATCACCCACGTTGCCCCCAGGATGGCCCCAAATGGCCCTAGACGCTTTCAGCTGGCCTCTCTTAACCTTCCAAAACGACCCCAAGACCGCCGAAGAGACGCCCAAGGTGGCCCCGGGAGGCCTTGAAAGCCCCCCACCCTCAAAACACCTTACACGGCCTCGTGAGGGTCACCAGAAAGGCCCACATGTTCTGTCACACATGTGTGCGGGCCAAAATCCCCCAAGACTCACTGATCGAGAGAGTTGGGTGCTAGTCCCTGCCCATGGGTCCGCTGTGATTCTCGTTGTGCTGGCTCACTAATTGGTGCCTCCTGCCCTTGACAATGCCAGAATGGACGGATAACGTTGGTCATTCGAAAGTCATGCGCTCATAACCCCTCATGTCCACTACTCCAACTGTAGCGGTTCTCCACCTCCTCCTTCTCCTTCTCATCCTCCTCCTTTTCTTCCTCATATCCCCTCTTTCCTCCTTCGCGCCGGCACAAGCCTTCCTGCCCCTCCAAACCACCAACCAAGACCCACTACACCACAACATACGGAACGCTCCTCGATGATGCTCCAAGGAAAGCCCCACACTGCGATGGTCACATAGACTTCCCGACATCCTGCCACTTTCCCTATCCGTCTTGCCCCTCAGCCCCCCACTGTGCACCACATCGCTCCTCGTTGCCCGCATGCTCTTCGTCGTACTGGGGCAATGCGTGCAGCCCCGATTGGATTCGCTCCGTCTTGCTGTCAAGGGTCGGCGGGAAGGCGTAAACCTCTTGAGTGCTCCTACCTGCCCACCCAACAGTGTGACCTACATTCCATTACCCATCCGTCTAGACATGCGACCCGACGATTTTCACCCCGTGGATACACATGCAATCTAACGGCTACGAGGAATCCAATCCATCAAGTGCTCCTTCGTGTGAAAACATGTCGCCCGCGTTCCTGATCCCTCATCAAAGCAAGCACGGACCTTGCCTACTTTGCAAAGGTTCTTTTGATGTTCTGACGCCGCGGGCTCGTGATACGGTTTCAACTTTGATCGGCTACACGCTGTCCGTGATTACCGCTGTGCCGCGAGGCACGAATTGGAATGTCCTGAAGGCCCTGGAGTTCAAAAGGGCCACGGGAAGCTAAACTCACGGATTTTCCTCAGGCAGTTGGCGGATTTCAGCGTTCTCACCTTTTCGGACGTCCAGCGCTCCACGACGGCCCAAGAGGCACCCACAATGGCCCCTGAGACGGCCCACGATGCCCCTGAAAGGGCAACAACACGACCCAAGAGGCCACAATGACGGCCTAAGACTGCCATCCTAAAAGGCAGGGGACGGCGGTGACTCGCCGTAGGCGTCTTCGATCCGCCGCCCCCCCTTGGCTTGCCACAGGGGTGCACGGCGTGCTGGATGTATTGGTGATTTGGTTCTTTTCTACAGACCTCCCAATGGACCTTTGATCGATCCCTCCAGCAGCGCGGAAAGCCTTGCCAATCTCGTTCGCCATTGGCATCCCCCCCCTAAGATCGCCCCAAGATGGCCTCTAAGACGGCTACCATGGCCCCGACATAATCTAAGATGGCCCAAGATGCCTCCCAGACGGGCCGAGATGCTTCCAAGATGGCCTCACGACGGTGCACGACGTTCCAAGATGGCCCCCAAGATGGCCCCCAAGAGGCCTCCAAGAAGGCCAAGAGGCCTCCAAGTTTCCTCCTGAAGGCCCGAAGAGCCCAAACAATTGAGTTTCCTGAGGTATTTAAAAGATTGGGGCATTTGCTTCTGTTCGGCCTTCCGACTGCCCAAGACGGCCCAAGAGGCCCCAAAGATCGACCAACATGCCTCCAAGATGGCCCCACGACGGCCCGAGCGGCCCCCAGGGCGGCCGCCAAAACGGCCCAAGAGGCCTCCAAGAAGCTCAATATAGCTTCCAAGAGGGCCCCAAGTCGGTTCACAGAGGCCCCAAGGCGGCTTCCGACGGCGTCAGACTGGCCAGGAAAGGCATAAGACGGCCAACGACGCCCCCCCAAAGCCCCTACGTCTCCGAAGAGGCCCAAGGAGGTTCCCCAGAGGCCTCTAAGATGTCCCTAGGAGGCTCCCAGGAGGCCCCAAGAGTGACTCAAGAAGCTCCCAATAGGCCATCTACTCCTCCTCGTCCGATAGCTTGGCCAAGCTCTCACCCAACGTTTGGCGACGGAGGCGCTTCCCAAAAAAGGCAGGGGGCGGCGGTGATTCACCGTAGGCGTGCCCTAATCGCCTGCATGTCTCAAGGGCTTGGCTTGCAATCCTCAATCAACAACTAACTTCCTATGTAACATCGTCGGACAGACGTGACAAATTCTGACGTACAGTATGTCGCAATTGATAAGCGGCACGTCGCTCAAACGACTGAATCCAACGTGGAAAATATTGCGCATCCTCGAACGTGATCTCCATCTTTGACTCGTCCTGATGCCGGGCACACATCGGGACATGCCGCCACCGTTGAATGCAATGATCGAATTGCCTTCCGCCTTCTTTGCGATACCCCCTTTGTGCGTACATGCAATCTGCGACATGCCATTTGAACCATATGAGTTGCGTCGATCGTGTTTGCTAACCTCTATGCACCCCATGTGTAGTTCTCAATTTCATGGCCAACAAGTAAAACTAGCGCTGACCTTTCTACGACACTGAGATCTCGGTCGGATCCGTAGGCTGAATCGGGAACGAGACTCGGAGTGGTCCTACATCGTGCCGTGGTGTCTCACAGGGAGGGCCGCACATAACGAGTCTGACCAGATGCGCTGCCCTTGCGCAACCCTTGGCCAGGGCGGGCCCCACCAGTCTGAGTTCTTGCGATGCTGGTGTGCGTTTGATGTGGTGCAATGTGGGAAACAATCCATGTGGTTCAATACTATGTGGTACACAAGCTGGTTCCAAGGATCGTCCTGGAACCCGGATGGGGGGCCTCTTGGTCCGCCTTGGAGCTGGCCTAAGAGTCCAACATGCCTGAATCCGATTTTGGCCTACATGGTTGTCGCGTGTTTTCGCTCCCACCAGCGTCCAGTGCGGCCCAAGCTGCTCCCGGGATTGCCCCACGACGGCCCCCGAGAGACCCCCGAGAGGCCCCGTGCGGGGCCAACGAAACGAGATTGGCACCGCACGACACGCGGGCGGCACCTGTTCCGCATTCCAGCAGCTGGGCCCGGCACGGCCCGCGGGCGGCACCACTTGGCATTCCAGAAACCAAGCACGGCACGACACGGCACGCGGGCACGGCACCTCACACGGCACGGCGCGCGGGCGACACCTCCTTCGCAGCACAGCTGCCAAGCACGGCATGGCACGGCACGCGGGCATCAGCTCCTTCGCATCCCAGGACCTGGGCACGGCATGGCACAGCACGCACGGCGCGCGGGCACTTCACGGCACGCAAGCGGCACCTGCTTCGCAGTCCAGAACATGACCATGACATGGCACGGCACGCGGGCACGGCACGGCATGCGGGCAGAGTTTAGCGCTCCAGACGCTGCACGACGCAACGCGGCACGCGGGCACGCCACTGCCCAGCACGCGGGCGGCGGCACCTTGCCCGCATCCCCGACGCTACATGGGCACGGCACGGTCGGCACGGCACGCGCACACCGCCCGGCACGCGGGCGGCACCCCTGCCGCTCCTGACCCGAGGCTAAGCACGGCACGGCACGCACGGGCGGTACACAGCACGGCACGCGGGCACGGCACGCGGGCACGGCACGGCACGGCACGCGGGCTGCAATCCTTTCGCATTCGGGAGGCCAGGCCCGGCATGGCATGGGCGGCACCTTTTCAGCAATCCAGAAGCAGGAGCCGCCTTGCTGAAACGAACTGAGGCCCCTCGCACCATTCGATGTTTCGGGAAAGCCCCAAGAGGTCCCAAAGAGGGTCCAGACAGGCCCCCAAGACAGCCTCCGAAGGCGCCAGACGGCCTTGAGCACCCTAAGACGACCCAAGACAGCTACAGGGTGGCCCACGTGAGCCCCAAGCGGCCTCCAAGAATGCCCCAACGGCCCGAAAAGAGCCCCCCGAGAGCGCCACGATGACCCCGCCCCAGTGTTCCCCCAGTGGTTTCCCAGAGCGCAGGGGGATCACGCAGTCCACAAGCATGGCTGCGCCTTCGTTTACATTTCACAACACAGGCGTTTCCAGAAGGCAGTGGGCGGCGGTGATTCGCCCTAGGCGTCTTCGACCATCCGATGCAGGGCACACGGAAACTCGAGTGAAACCCAAGTGGTCGTTATTCCAAGGCTTTGACAATGATGTCCGAAGGCGCGCCACTGGTTGCCCTTTGGGGCAGGGGTTTAAACCCACCTCTCTCCCCCCCCATCCCCTTTGCCCCAAAAGGGAGGCTTGGGTGGGCTGCACCCCCCTCTTGCTCCGCTGACCTAGCTCCAACCCTACCACCATGACCCTAACCCAAGAACCCAAGAATCCTAACGCTATCGCCCTCACCCTTACACCCCAAAGCTCATCCTAACATCCTAACCCTTGTCCGAACACCCTAGCCCTAACACCCTTACCCTAGCATCCTAGTCCTAACATCCTGACCCTAAGCACTGACCCGAATCCTCACACCCTAGCACCCTGACCCTGGCACCCTAGCACCATCACGCTAACACCTGAATACCCTAACCCTGACGCCGAAACCCTCACACCCCAACCCTAAGCATTCACCGTAACTCAGACGCCCCAAACCTGACAGTAACACTCTTTCGTTACTACCCTAACGCTAACACACTAGCCCTAGCACCCTAACCCTAGAACCCTAGCCGTAAACACTACTCCAAAATTTAGCGCCCAAAGACTCTAACCCTAGCGCCCGAAATCTAACACTGGCACTCTGACGCTAAACCTAAGGCCCGAATCCTAACACCATAACCCTAACGCCCTAGCGCTAGCACCCTAACCCTAGCCCCTATACCCTATAACCCCAACCCTGACGCTAACGCCCTAACCTTAACCGTAACAACCTCACTCTAACGCCCTTGCTCTAACCCGAGCAACGACACATACCACCCGAACCCAAACATCCTGATGTCGGCTAACACAGGACGCCTAGCAACACCATGCGCCAGGGCGCGACCCCTCCCCCCCGCCCTTCCACCGCCATGGGTGTTGAAACCCACATCCCTTTCGAAGGGATGGGCAGGTGTGGGTTTGAAGCAGACCACTTTGAAAGTTCGAGCAGGGGATCGACTACATAATCGATCTACCCCAAAATTGTTTCCCGTCGAATATACGAAACATGCCAAGCATTCTCCGTCGATCGACTGACTGTACTACGTATTTTTCTCATGGGTTCTACTAGAAAACTATTTGTTTGGCAGATCAATTCTGTAGTCGATCCCCTACTCGAGAAGTGGGGGGCGGAGGGGTTCGGATCAAACAGCTTCTGCTTTCTAATTGCGAAGGAGCGCCAGGGGAAGCTGTACTGGCGCCCTTTCGCAGTGTCCAGCCTCTGGCTGCCACGGCCTGCTCAAATCCTGCCTATGGCGATTCAGCTAACATTTGCGACGTCTAGCCACTGCGCAATGACTGGGATCTGGACTTTAGGCAAGCACTCCTCCTCGCTGACGCGTGGCTGTTGTAACTGCTGTCGGCACCGACGTCACCGTCGTGTGCCGTCTGGCATATTTTGGACGCCCGCCGCACCAGCGATGCTCGCGGTCAGCACAGCTGCGCGCACTACCGCCAACAGTGCAGCGGCACAGTCGCTTATGCCGGGGGAGACAAGCGGCAACCTCGTCGGCCTGGGTGAGTACAAGGACTTGAGTCGGGGATCTACTGACCTGGGTCAATCCAGACCCGCCACTCAGGATCTGACAACATCCCGCAGGACCCTGCAGGATCCTGCGGTCAAGCCCGGGTGAGTGCAACCCCAGCCCTGCAAGATCCTGCAAGATCCGGCGCTCTGGCTGACCCCCGTTTGCATTGACCCCCGTCTCTTGAGCCCCGATTGGGCGTCTGGGCCACGTCTCCAGCAATGTTGTCAGGCTCGCTGTGCTGTCCTTCTTCGTCCTCCGTCCCGAAGCTTCCGTACCCTTGGCCCCTGGCCCTTGGAGAGATCCTCTGGACGTGAAAACGGCCCGGCGGAGCAACCTAGGGGTCCTCTTCCTTATCCTCCCCCGGCTCCTCCCTCCCCTTCCCCTCATCCTCCCGCACTCCTTCTCATCTCCGTCCGCCTCGAGTCCCTCCTCCTCCTCCTCCTCCTCCTCCTCCTCCTCTCCTCCTCCTCCTCCTCCCTCCTCCTCCTCGTCCTTGTGCCGCCTGGCCAGGCTGAAATCGCCCGCCGCTCCTGTCCCCTCACGACGCTGGAACACGGGGGTCGGAGGCTGCTACGCGCGGTCAAGGCCCAAAGTGTTCTCAAGATCTCGCGCCATTGTGGTTCCTGTTGGAGCTCTCCTGGCCTCGTGAGGGGTGTTCTGGATGCCACCTGGGCGACTCCGGAAACCCTGGTGCTCTGGAGGCCATCTGGGCGACTCCCGAGACGCTGGATACAAACACGGTGGCGTCTCACCTTTACCCGCTGGACTTCCGCTGATGGAAGTCGCTTTCGTTTTATGCTCGCCGCCTTCCGCCAGCTTTCCGCCAAAGGCAAGGATGCGCCGAAGGCGAGGAAAACTGCAAACACACAAACCGTCGGAGCTCCGCGAGGATTTCTTTGGCTGGCGCTGGGCCCTCCTTCCTGCGCCTCCGGCGCCGATCCAAGAACTCCGCGCGGAGCACCGACGGTTTGAGTGCTCCCACCGTCCTTCCTCCCTTCGAGTAGGGGATCGACTACAGAATGGAATTGGCCCAAAATTGATTTTCCCGCCGAATCTACTAAATATACATAGAATACTCCTCAGATCTACCAGACTCGACGCAAGAAACAAGCTTGAAGTACACCACTTCTCTAGTCGATCTCCTCCTCGATCCCCTCGAGCTCTGGAGCTCGCCAACTGGGCCTCCCGGGAAGCCACGGGGGTGGCACCCCGGGGCGAGGGGCGGGGGGATGCCGCCCCCTGCCCTCCCCCGCGGGCCGAGGCCGAGGGGCGCCACCACGCCCAGGAGGAGGTCGACCTCGGGCCGGGTGCGCCGAGGAGGGGCCTTGCCGTCGGGATCGGTCGGAGAGGGCACGCGAGAGGGCACGAGGCCCTTCCGAGGGCCTGGCTGCCACAGGAGCGTATAGAAGGCATGGGTCGCGAAATACGGGGAACGAGGGGGTACCCTCGATTCGGCAGGGTCGACCTACTGATCAGCCCCCGACTGTACGAGGAAGAGGGGGGTCAGCGAACCATGGGACCAAGGCGTGCGCGCGGACGGGGGGGGGCCCTGGGAGCGCACCAGAAGATGAGGTTGGCCCATCACGCTCCCTGGGCCTCGGAGGCGTCAGGGGGTACTTTCGGGAGGGGACGAGAAGGGTAGGGTAGCAGAGGTCAGGGTCG